TAATATGGATATATTGAAAATAATTAAAATTTGAATAGCTAGTGTGGCTTTTCCCCTTTTGTAAGGGAATGAAAGCCTGAATTGCTTGAGGACTTTTTAACAAGACAGGAGAATGTTCACCTCTTGTTTAAATGCAGCACAATTAAGTAGTAAGCAAACATTATTGTTATCTTCCTAATACTATTCCAGTGGATCTTTCAGTCCTGTTCCTCACAGACTACCCTCAGAGTAGCGTTCTTATAGTTGAGCTATAATGAACATATAGGGGAGCCAACAACAGCCCGTCCGGGCCCCTGGGCAAGGTGGGAGAGTGGCCACTCTGTGCTCTCAGAAGCCTCAGGTAAAAGGGGAAGCCAGCTTCAGCACCACTCAGCCATGCTTCCTCCTCCCCCACAGTCCTCAGAAGCAGGCAGTGTGTCTGTCAGAGGGCCTGAACATAATGGGGATCAAAATGGGAACTTGTGTCTTTCCTACTGTTACCGGGCGGCATCTGTTTAAGCCATGGTCTGGATAAAGAAGCCATGGAAGCAGCTTCTAACTTCACTACTCATATCAGAGTATTCCCTACATTTGACACTTTCTTTGTGTTCTCTTCAGAGAGACCCAGCACTAGATGCGTATGTTTTCTGTGCTTTGACTGCATGGGCTGAAACACTTTTCCCAGAAAAAAATAGCAAATGATAAATAAGGCATATTTCTAGTGTGAATTCTCATGCAAATAATAATTCCCCTTAAACTTGCAAAACACTTGGGAATTGTGAACATGTTCACCAATTCCCAGGTGCCACCCAAACACTCACAGACAATGAATATTGCGACCCACAAATAACAGTCAGCCAGTCTTGTCAATGTTATGCATAAAAATATTCATGAATCACTTTTTGTGTTACTTGACCTAGTTCTTGCTGAAGCTAACATTTTATAAAAGAACATCAAAGCATCCTGTTAATAATCATTGTTTTCATTTACTAGTTCATTGGATATTTAAGAAATTAATAAGTCACTGTAAATTACATTCATTTTTTGATGTTTTAGGATTTTAAACTTTCCAGTAATAAGGCAATTGATCTTTTTTTTCTCTTAAAATAAGTACAGAGTTGTTTGGATGCTGTAAATACCAGCAGGAGAGTTTCACATAAGAGCTAACCTGGGGTTAATATTAATAAAGGTACTCACTGTGTGCAAGAGTTCTTGCAATAAAAGGTCAGACTTAGCTTTGAGATCCAAAATTAGAAATGTCTTTTAAAGACTATCAAAACCAATACAAATGTGAAGCTCAGTTGATAGTCTTGCCCTTGTAGTGGTTTGTAGATTGAGGCAGGATAGCTAAATGCAATAATAATAATTAATAATAAAAATAACTTGTGCTTCCTAACGAAGATATACATTCATCACCACAAAGACATTTTCATTCCTAAACTATTATCATGACGTCTTTGATAATTCTATTAAATGAAACCCATTGAAGGCATGTATTAGGCTATCATTCCCTTGCTCCTTTTTAGTCATTTACCCAGGAAAGAAGGGTACATTTTTATCTAATGCTCTCAGCCTTTTGCTTAATGAGTAAAATCCCATATTAACATTGTCAGAAATCTATGAGAATGAAATTTTTATAAGGCAATATGTGATTATGAGCTATGCTGTTAACACGTAACTAGGTTAGTTTATTAAAAGAATAGGACAAAAAAGACTCTACTTTGAGATTATCAAATCCTTTTGACAGATTGTCCTGCTGATGGAGGAATTTGCATAAAGGGCATGAGACAGTTTTAATGGCTATACTTAGATATTGAACTGTGTAGACAGACAGATAATTATAGTGCAATTGTCCTATTTTCCAGCTAAGGTAATTGTAAGATGGAAAGAAAGAGAGAATAAATGGGGAAAGAGAGAAAGGAGAAAAAGGAGGCATACGTTCAGCATTAGAGAGAAGGAGGCATACGTTCAGCATTAGAGAGAAGGAGGCATAGGGATGGAGTGATAGTGGAAGAGGAAGAAAATGACTGGGGTGAATCCCAGGTGGAGGTGGAAGTTAAACAGATAAGGAGACATATAACCTGTAAGGTGAGGAGGTGAAGAGATTAAATTACTCAGCTCGTTTCCAGTCCTCAACCCTGTGTGAGTTCTCTTGGTCTAGTCTCTCTCCCAACTTCCTTTCTCTCTTGTCCTTTTTGTTCCTTGACTTGAGTTTGTGGGCCCACACCTAGAGAATCTCCTGTTTCTCTTTCCCAACTTGGGTGGCTCCCATTTACTTCCCATAAGTGAGTCCCCTCACATCTTGAGCTTTCCCCTGCTTTAGGTTCCCATTCAGTTCTTAAAAGAGAAGAATGAAAAAAGGGTTCTGGTGCAGATCCATCACACCCCTACAGAAGAAACAAAGTTGAGAACACGAAGTTACCATCTGATCAGAAAGACACACCACGGCACAACAGTAGCTACTGACAGATGATCCAATAAGAGGCAGAACAATTGTTTCATCTGTCAAGGGGATTCAGGTTATCTACCATGACAACCATGCTATACATTTCTGTGTATGTTATTCACTAATTGTATTCATTAGCTAGCAGTCGCTGTTTTAGTTGATATTATGTTTTCTATTCATCTGATATTTTGTAAGGGAAGATGCAGCCGTCACCGAAGCATGGGTCCTACAATGTGCTAAGGGACAAAATATTTGCATTCAAATAAAAAACCATTTTTCCTACCAGCACTCTTATGTGTCATGAATTTATAACCCCAAGTGCAGGAGCATTTAAATATGGTTTTAAGATGTAATATTAAAAATGGCAAGATAAAATTTCTTAACCTTCTTCTGAGAACTATTTTCCATAGAGGGAGGTAGAATTGCATAAGTGCCCTTTCAAAATGATCTTTTCAATGTATTTTTGAAAATTAAATATAAAATGAATAAGCCATATTGTAAGTCAATAAACCAAACCAGACTGTAAATGCATAAAATAGTGATGATACACTTCTTGCTTGATAAAAACACTTGTGCACAACACATACCAGGCATTCACCAACAGCCCAATAATGGACAGATTAGTGTGACTTGTCAAATTAAGACGAATGTTGAATTTTACCCATCTCAGTCCCAGCAGCACTACTACTGTCTATATGAATGTGAATAAGAAGAGCGTAAGAACATCAAATGTCAAAGTTTTGAGAAAACTTCAATTACTCATGAAAGCTTTGTTTGTAGGACAATGGGCATCCCAAATACCCATTCCTTTTATTATACATGAGAAGAAACGATATGTAATGAAAGAGGCTGAAATGACCAAGACAAACAAGCCTTGAAGGACCCTCTTGTTTCTTATCCTGTTGGAAGAGGCCTACTCTGCCTGACAGTGAAATTAGCAGATTACCATACATCATTCATCAAGTAACAACACATTGTTGACTCTTTCTATGGGCATGGTCAGCTAGAAGGAATGCACAAAATGTTCAGTACTCAAAGAATGAATAAGGTTATGGAGCAAATGAAAATATTGTCCCCTAAAATGATGGCAGATTTTCATTTTTGATGCCCACCTTAAAAATCTTAGTTTTTAGTAGAGCTCAACATTCACATCTGCAACGGATGTCACTGACAGCTGTGAGTTCTGGGTCTGTATATCAGTAAGCCATGTGGTTTGGGCAAGTGAGCACAGGTTTAGGTTTAGAAGCCATATGGGTCTTGATTTCTTACTTTGGCTCTGTTAGTCACTCTGGGTGTGTCTATACAGCAAAGTTATTTTGGAATAACAACTGTTATTCCAAAATAACTATGTGAGCATCTAAACAGCAATTCCATTATTTCAAAATAACGGATGGCTTATTCTGACTTCTATAAACCTCTTTCTATGAAGCATAATGCCTATTCTGAAATAGCTATTTTAAAGTAAGGTGTGTGTAGACTCTCCACTGCTGCTATTTAAAATGGTCCCTTGCCAGGGCCATTCTAAGTTATTCCTCCTGGAGCTCTAAATCAAGATAGCATGTCTACATGAGGGAAGCATGCCTCAGACTAATTTTGAGGATTCCCTGCAGTGTAGAAGTGCTATTTCAAAATAAGCTATTCCAGAATAACTATTCCGGAATAACTTATTCCAAAATAACTGTGCAGTGTAAATGTAGCCTCTGTGACTTAAATCAATTTGCTTTGTCTTTTCTTACTTTGCCCATCTATAAAATATCCAATGTGGGATGTGAAAATAAATTATTTGTTAAGTACTCAGGCTATGTCTACACTACCCCGCTAGTTCGAACTAGCGGGGTAGTGTAGACATACCCTAAGGTATTAATAATATAGTTAAGATTTGAGATACATAGGTCCCCCAATTGGTATTATTACGTTCAAGTATGAAGAAGCAATTTTTCCAAACAAAACTAACCAAGATTACAAGATCACCAATTTAAATCTATTCAGAAATAAAACTAGGCAATCCCGGTTACAATAAAGTGTCATCCATTTTGGCCACATCTTCACCTCATGCAATGATGACGAACACCGTAAAGAAATAAATAATTCTGTATTGAATGCAGGTTATGCACAGTAAAGGCGTAAATAGTATTTAATAAATGTATATAAGAAAAGATTCAGTTTTAAATTACATCAAGGCAAAATTGGAAATCTTGTAGTTAATCATGCTTTACAGTTTCTAATACATTCTTAAATGAAGATGGCTTCTTTTTCCAGGTTATTGACTTTCAATTTTAAAGAGTAAGAGTCCAGAATATAATATAAGCAAATTCAGATGAATAACTAATCCTTTGTTTCTTTATTTGGTTTTGAAGTACATGTATTTAGGATTACTAAATGAAATGTACATGACTATTTGAAGTGGGCAAAAATGTTTGCAAAGAACATGAGAGAAATATTCTAAATGACAGCAAAAGGAAGAAATGTAATGCCACTATTCAGTTACCATTTCCTGCAAACATTAAATTTCTCTAGCATATCTACGATGTAACATACACCTCTTAAAATTCTTATAACACCAGCCATCCAGCAAAATTACCATGCAGCAAAATGGAAACATAATTTCTACTAGTTTTTATCTGTATCCTGTCATGATGTAAATTGTATTACTCTGAACAGTAAAATTTTGTGATAGCTGTATTCCATGAATCTGATACAAAGATTATTGAAGACAGGAGGTTTTCTTTTTCAGTGAATTCAATGGTTTTTGTTGGAAGTCCTATAAGAGTGGGAAGAGAAACTTCTATGAAGATAGGATGGTGTCGACACCTGTAATTTGGATTTGATACACATAAGTTTAGGAAACAAGGATAATAGATGTGTAAAGTAATATAGCTCTGAGACTTTAAAAATAAAAATATTTTACTGTACTCCAACAGATTGTGACAAATAATAAGACATAGAGTCCTAAGTACTACTGATATTGATGGATGGAAGTCTAGGGAGGGAAGAGTAGCAATAAGATTCTGTTATAACCATCCAACAAAGTTACACAAAAAGTTACAAGCATAGGAGGCATAGGTAGAGTGCATTTGCCCCATGAGAAAATTGCAGTATCATATTAAGGGGCAATCAGTGTTTGCCACCCACTACCCTGTTTAGCTTTATGATCCATGACAATTTTGGTGGTTTTTATATATAATTATAGCTACCTACTTCACTACCTTTTGAACCAATTTTCTGCTTAATTAGCTCCAATTTTCATTGTCTGGCAGACAATTCAAAACTGTTGAGTGAGTGCCTTCTGGTCTGAAAACCTGTTAATATTTAATACTCCTCATTTTAATATCTTACTTTTCAAATGTTCACCTAATGATATAATGATTATTTCAAGGCTGATCATTTATTTTGATTTAACTCAACAAAGATGTATAGTGCTAATTCTTTAATATCGCCTTAGCTGGTAAAAGTAGTTCCATGACCCTCTAAGATCATTCATTACTCCATTCATTTTACCACAGTATTATTTTACAGCAGGGATAGGGAACTTAAAACACACAGGCTGGATATGGCCTCTGGCTTACTTTGATCTAGCCTGCAGTGAAACCCGGGGCTTCACCCCACAATGGATCCAGCTGGCACTCACACTCTATTCTTGTGGCAAGTCTCTGAGCTATTCTGCCCCCTGCAGGGCTGGAACACACACTCTGCTGCAGGGGAAAGCCGTGAACCTTGGAAAACCTCCCTCCACAGTCAGGGTCACTTCACTGCTTTGGGAACCTCAGGTTCAGTGACAGTCTCTCTTTTGTTTGTTTGTTTTATTTTGTTATTTTTGCTTCTCACTTGTGTGTGGCATCAGACTGACCAAAACTGTTTCCCACTCCTGAGATACAGTCTCAATGTCTGAACCCTTCCATTTCCTTTACATACTTCTGTGGGTTCAGGGGAAGATACAAGGATCAGCCTCTCAAGTATCAGCAGCAGAGGCACAGGGACATTGGGATGAAGATATGTGCATCTATATCCCTGCAGCTCTGGTCCCAGTGCTTGGCTGCCATTGAAACCACCTCATCATGGACTCCCCTGGGCATTTCTACCCACTGCAAGTATGACTGAGAAATAACGGGAAGACAAAGCAGTTGCACAGCTATATTGGAGAAAAGAATGTGTCCCACGAAATATTTATTACAGGTGATACAAACCAGAAAAACAGGATGACCGTATTAGGCTGCCAGTAAAACAGTATCTTTACTTGCAAATTGAGAGGCAATTCATGAAGAACCCTCCTAAAACATCATTTTACAGGGCCACTTTCAAATAGAAAAAGACATACCTTTGCAATAAACAAATGTATCAGCCAAATTCAATTCCATTTTCAGCTGTGTAAATCCAGAATTACTCCATTGACCCATAGCACTTCAACAGCTGAATTATGAGAGAAATTGTTATGATCTTGTTTACAAGCTAATGATAATAAATGAGCTATATCATAACATCTTAGCCACATTGGTGGCTTACTTTCAATTATAGTCTCACCTTATGAGGCTTGATTCTTCCTTCACTTGGGGTAAGGAAAATTGAAAAAAGACTCCTGTGAAGACAAAAGTACTGTACTGCAGTATAACTAGTGTGGGGAAAGGATCAGATCCATAGTATCTAAGCTATTTTAATAGTGAATGAACATACATTAAGCAGCTCTATTCTGATCCTCTAAAATATCCTGGACATCAAATAATACCATTTGCAAACATGTAAAGCTTACAATTTGAACAGTAATAAGTACCAGTTAATTTGAATCCCTAATAATAATTTAAAGGATTCAGTGTTCAGCTGCTGGAAACCCCTAATCCTTATATTATGCATAACTAATTATTAGTTATGTAGCTAGGTGACTTAAAGATAAGCTATCTCTCTACAATATCCCAAATACTCATATTCTAATTTCATTTTAAACAAAAATGCTTTCTGTTTAAAAAAATGTTCGTCGCATGAAGGCCCAATCGTTATTATTTTGTTCCAGTTGCCTTTGTTAATCCAGAAATGGTAACAGTGCTGTTTACCAACCCAATTATTCTAAGCTTCTCTTTCATCTCTTTCTTGGTAGCCTTCTTGTATAAGCTCCAGTTCTGTGAAGAGAAGCAGGCAGGCTGGGCAGAGCCTCAATGAAGTTAGTGGAGTTCTGTGTCCTACTTGGTTCTTTTTGCCTCATCAGGGATTATGGGATTTATTCATTGTCCAAGAAGTCAAGGGAAAGGCAGCCTTTGTATTCTATACTAAGTAATTCCTTCAATATTCTCCATAATAATTGAAATTAACAGAAAAAAACTGTTTAGACACACAAAGCATCATAAAAATAAAGCTTAGTTAATCACTTTGTTGCTGCTTAAAATACATAAGCAAATAAATGATAAAGTATTGCATGTTGTATCCCACCTACTGGGTATATCACCTTTGAAATACCAATATTAAAATGGAAAATCAACCCTGAAAAGAATACCATCACAATCCACTGACACAATGAAGTTACAGAGGAGCCCAGTGATGAAGGGGTTAATCCTACAGCAATTGCCACAGATTTAAAACAGTGTGTCATAAAATACCTTATTTAAAAAACAAAAGGCCTGGCTCGGATATGCAAGCAGTATACCTGAGTCCTACTGAAGTCCAAAGCAAGGGACAGAGATTGAAGGAAGACAAAAAGAAGTAAGCCCTCATTCTTGGTAGTCAGCTTGTGTCAACAGAAACGGAAAAACACATTTCATCTCACAGAAATGTAAAGCAATAATTATCTGGGGAAGTTGTTCTTCTTCTAATTTAAGACTTTTAATTCCCCTGGAAATACTGGCCAAGTCAATATTTAGAGAGAATGAGCTTTAGCCATTTTTCTCCCTTTATGGATGACTTTCTGTTCCCCTGAGTTGAATTAGATTTTCCTGGAGTTCATAAAATGACACAAACAACCTGAATACTTTCTAATTTATAGTTGGCAATATTTTCCTCTTTTTATTTAATGAAAAACAAACATTCACCTGTGAATCAGCATGAGTGGAACAACCCTAAAAACTAGCTCTCTACAAGCTCAAACCAGACAATGAATTATATTTCCCTTTTTTCATCAGTAAAATATACCAAAAATAATGTATTCAACAGTATTTCTTCACATATTTGCATTCATAACCACAGCATTATTTCCATTATACAATCCTCAACAGATAGAAGGTGGACTAGAAAATATAAAGTACCACATCTAATACCTGAATATAAAAAAAGTCAAATGAGACTATTCCTGTTTGGTAAAAGAGGGAAAGTTGTTGACAATTATGAAAAAAATCCTATGTTGAGGGCCAGAACATCAACTGGCATAAATGGACATAATTATAGTTGATCTATCTCATTCTGCCTGTTATCAGGAATTGGAAATGTACCTTTACATAATAAGAAATATACACCATATATTCAAATCTAGTCAGCCTCAGTAAGAAATGTAGAAACTCAGATTAATAGCCAGCATTGCAAGAATTTGGCCATTTGGGAAAAAAAAATTCTCCAAGTGGCCCTAAGAAAATCCCAGATTTTGAGCACCATAAAGCATGCTCCTGAATGCATTGCATAAGAGTACATATAAAAAAATCATAGAAGATTAGGTTTGGAAGGGACCTCAGAAGGTCATCTAGTCCTACCCCCCGACTTCTGCTCAAAGCAGGACCAACCCCAGCTACATAAAAATTCACTGCAACTAAACTAATTCACTGCAATTAACCATCTACTCCTTTTATTTATACTGACTTCTTGTAAAATGGAGCTTGTTAATACTTCTTGGGTCAGAATTCGAAACAGAGAATGCAGCAATTTTGCATAAAAAGAGGCACCTATATATATTTTAAATATACTTACTCACCTTTTAGGAGTATCTTTTGCTACTGCTTTATTCATTTAAATCCTAATTTCTGTGATTGCCTATTAAGATATCTTTCTCCTACAAGAAATTTCTCCCTCTTAGCTATAGCTTAATCTTTTCAATCTGCCCTTGTAGTTGATTCCCTCCAGTCTAATAGCTTGTTCTTCTCTGATTCTTCTGAATTTATACATTGAGGTAAGTCATGCAAAACATGACATATTGGGTTAGATTCTCAGTTGATGTCAGTCAACATAGCCACACTGAATTCAATGCAATGACTTTGATTTACAACAGCTGAGTAGTTTGCCCAGTATTCCAGATATTTTCTTACCATGAATTTATAAAACTCCCTTTGCTTCACATAATATTCTTTTTTATGTTTTTTGGGGGGAGGAGGCAAAAATTGGACACTGTATTCCCATGTTTGTGTTATTGTGAAGGAGACCAGTTATGTAGTGGTACAGATTGATACTCCATAACCTATGCAACCCAAGTCCAGCAACACTCCTGGTCCTATGTCATTATGGTAACTCCCTGGGGCCAGAAGCATTGCCAGACTAGGAGAGATGAAATATGGATTCTCAGGCTGCAGTGGGGCCACTGGGGAAAGCCCCTGGTGGCAGCGGAGCCACCAGGCAGAGTATGAAGTTCCCCCGCTCTGGTGGCAGTAGAGCAGCAGGGATGGGGAAGAAGCAGAGCCCACCCATGGGGAGATCAGAGTCCCAGGTGGCAGCAGGGCATCCAGGAGGAAAAATGGAGCCTGGTGCATTGATCTCCCCTGGCCCAGCAAATTCCTTTGTCCGGGACCAGCCAGGTCTTGAGGGTACTGGACCAGGGAGGTTCAGCTTATAATAAGAACTAGAGAATAAAGGCAACAAACTCAATTAATGAAGAGTCTTTAAACTCTAATATCTTTACATGAAACTTTTCTCAAATAATTAGAATAATGAACAAGTTTGATCAGAACATGCTGGAGAATTAAGACATCGATACAGAGATATAATGAAAATGTCAAGCTGCCACCTTATTAAACACGCTAAACAGGTGGTAAAAAAATCCTCTCCCACCCCTACGAGCCAAAAAAAAAATCTACCAGGTATTAATTGGGTCCAGTGCAGGGTTAACTGGCCTTAATCTTTAAGAAATGAGACTAAGCACTCCCTAGCCTCATCCTCCCTAATTGATGACGGAATTGAATACAGAAGATTCAGTCTCTCTACATTCATGAAAGAGACTAAATATAGATGAGTCAGTATGGAACCACGTTCTAACATTATGTTAGGGACACTAGATTTGCTTCTGGATATCTATCTTTTAGATCAAATGGAAAACCAAAATCCTAGTATTTTTTTTCAAGTGATATTTTAGTCCTACTGTTCTGGAAGCTAATTCCATTGTATAATTGCATTCTTTGTCTCCCCCCGCACCCCTGCCCCAAATTCTTCCCATGTTTTCAATTGTATGTGGTATTCCTCACTTTCTGTACAGAATTGTGCAGTATTAGTGTGCAGTATGTTCAGCCATATGTGTAGAGGGTGGGGGCATGTTTCAGTCCAAAAGTGGCTGCACTTTTCTGGTGAGTTGAATGTTAAATATATTCATAGATTTTAAAGATGGAAAGGATCATTGTGATCATAGTCTGACCTCCTGAATCACACTGGCCATAGAACACATCCAATGATTCTTGGATCAAGTCCAGAATTTCTGACTAAGAAAGAACACATCTTTTAGAAAGACATTTCAACTTAATTTAAAGCTTTTGAAGGGGGAAAAATTACCACATCCCTAAGTTAATTACTCTGTTATAAATGTGTGCCTTATTTCTAGTCTGAATCTATCTTGTTTCATCTTACTGCAATTGGAATTTAGTATGCTTTTTTCTTCTGGATTAAAGAACACTCTTCACAATCATCTCCTTTTGTAGGTACTTAGAGATGATGATCAAGTAACATCTTAACTTTCTCTTGTATAAACTAAATAGATTGAGCTTGTACTTCTTAATAGGTCTTGAGTATTATTTTTTCAAATATATTCTTTCAAAAAAGAAATCATTTGAAGCTAAGATCAGAAAAGACCACCCACACTCAAATCACATATGGCATGCTTGGTGTGGTGAAAAAGCCCAAAGTTAAATAGTTGAAACTTTCATAGTTGCAAACAAACATTTTTCAGGATTGCGGCTCTAACTTTGACATTTTGCTGATAACACAAACTGATGAATGATGACTTTGGCAGGCTCCTATTAATAGATGTATCCCCCTTTAGCAACCTCATGTCCAGAAAAGCAATTGAGTCAACATGGAATTTTCAGCATTTCATAAGACAAGACAAAGGAATAAATAGTCTCATGAAGAAAATTAAAAGATATATCTCCACTGATCTGAAATAATGAAACATAATCTTATTTTAGTCATAGTTTTTTTTGAAGAACAAGATTATTATTTTTTTTCTCAGAGTCTGATAGAGATACAAGATGCATTAAACAAACAAACAAACCACCTACTCATATTGCATCTGAAATGTATTTGTAGCATCTTCAAATATCTACATTTTTGTTGATACCGGTAGTACAGAAATAAGAATAGTAGGATTTACTTTCTTTCTTTTCCTGTAACCTGATTTAAACATTATAAAACCCATAGGACTTCTCCCCTATTGTTAGTCCTTGAATAGTTTTATTGGGGTTAAGGATTAA